GAGTAGTAGTAGCAGTAGTAGTAGTAGCAGTAGTAGTAGCAGAAGTAGTAACAGTAATAGTAGTAATAGTAGTAATAGTAGTAATAGTAGTAGTAGTAGTAGTAGTAGTAGTAGTAGTAAGCAGCAGCATTATCACTAGTAACAATACGAATAAAAACACAATTGGACGACTACTGTAGTAACAAATTGAAACCGTCTGCGAGCTCCAGCTCTCGATTTTTTATGCTGCTCGGGGGGCAGGTTCTCATGTCAATGTGGAGTTCATCCACTCGCCCTTTTTCAGAGCGTCTGGAGTAGTCAACTTCAGGAAGCTGGCACTTTCTTTCATGCACTGCAGCCAGGGAGTTGACTACTCAGGTTTGGGATGTAGATGCAATGCTTCATCAACAGAAGGTTCAAATGCGTTCTGCATCTTGACAGATCGGATGGGAAGGATGCTGCGCGACCGTGCTACCTTTTACTTTGGAACATGCTCCCGGTTTGCGGGTGGAATCCGTTACTCTGCTGCTGGCACTTTCCCATCTTTCCATCTGCAGCCTTCTTGTGCCCTGTAGCTCCACCATGCAACTCATGAAGAAGTTTTGCATTGTCTATGTGTTGATGTCTGTGGGGGTCTCAGGAAGCGCTCGCCCTCTCAGCATTGATGTGCACAGGGCACGACTCATCTGCCGGTGCAGGACACACACTTCGATCTGTCGAGCATTAGATTATTTTGCCACGTGCAATCTTGTAATCCAGACGGCACCTGGAAATTCTCGATTCTGACAGCATGCTGGTATCGCATCAAATTTCCAGGTGCCTGGACGACCTGTTCTGTACAAACAAGGGGAGCGTGATCAGCAGGACCATTTTCCCCGGATGTGCTCCACAGAGTTTGATTCTAGCTGCCTCTGTGCCTGTCTGATGGAGCTGATTGCGACGACTGCTGAATGTCGTCCGAAACATTCCGAAAGTCTTCCAGACACGAAAATCTGTGCACTCGAGTTGCAAACAGTTCAAAGAATGTTTTATCAATGCCTGACCTGTCATGCATATCATGCATAATATGCTATGCGTGTGCACAGGTTGAAACTCGCGAGGACTGCTCGTATTGGAGCAGTCAGCCTCTTCAGCTTGGGACTGATTTACAATCCCATCTGTTCTTTGCGGCTTCCTCAACGAATGCTGATCCGGCAGCAAGCAATATCGCGGAATTTTGCCTGCTGCCGTGCTTCTATGAATTCAAGTAGTGACTGAGTATTGGCTCCGAAGCACTCATCGCTTTACGAGAGATTCTCTGACCCTCAGTCCGGAGCACTTTGGGCCCAGGAACTTGACGGGCTGCCTAGAGGCACTGGAGGAACCCACCAGCACTGTGACCCTGGCCCCGACGGCAGAAGATCTTCAAAGCTGGGCTCCGTCGCCCTAATCCGACGGCGGAAGAAGAGCTGTGGGCGTTCATTAGCGTCTGGATGAAACAGATACCTGGGCGGCATTGCACAGTAGGAATGTGCTACTGAGCTCTGTGCCCATACCAAGCCCTACGATGAGAAACTAACCCGTCCTTAAGTGACGCAGGTAAATGTTGTATCTTTTCCTCTAGCCAGTACAAACAAAACAGGCCATGCATCAACACTCACGTCGAGTACTCCTCTAACCTTACCATTGTTCAGCTTGGTCATCATGAAGTCACTCGCGTACTGAGTCGGCGAGGGGAGAGCAAGGAGCGAGGGGCTGTTGCACGCCAGGGATCACGTGTCGACTACACTAAAGGGGAGCCATTCTTGGGAGGACAACGACCAAGATTGTTGGGGACGTTTCATCGCAGACAGCAGGATTCGGGAGCGGAAACAGAACGCCGAGAATCTTTTCTTTGGTTTCCTGAATGGGCCATCTGAACTGACAGTGAAACAGCGGTGAAGCTTCGGCACCCTAGATGAACATGAGTTTGGGAAACATGTTCACACATAGGCATGTACGTATACATTGATACACGTAGCAAGGTTCACCTTACAATTTCCGCAAGCAGAAGTGTGCATGCATGGAGATAGAGATATATATATAACATATTCGTGTGCACGCCAAATCAATGCTGCACAAACACTCACGCAAGCACCCACACACGCATACACACAGGCAAATATTCATAGGTTTTCATGTATGCATACACAGCATGTATAGTTGTTAACGCATGTGTATAAGCGTACAAAAAATGCCACGCTGCAAATGAGCACGTGAGGTAGACACATTCAAACAAAAACAGTTCGGAATGCAACTATGAGCATATACATACATATGTATATATGTACATATAAATTTGCATGCATTCAAGCATGCATACATACTACCGTACCGGGGTCGGTGACGGCACGAAAGAAGAGGGAATCTGCACACACAAACAAATAGGTGATTATGAGGACAAGTAAATGGATGGACAGCTTCAGATATGTATCTATCGATCTATCCGTCCATCTATCTCTACATACGTACATACATACATAC